CGCCCTCACGTGCTTTGACATCATTAATTAATAATCCAATGTAATCCCGCCTATTTTCCTTAAACGTTCAGCGTATTACTATATTCGAGAACTAAAGCAATCAGGATTATTATTTTACCCCCTCGCCAATCTATATACACAGGTAAAGTTACAATCTATGCATACAGGTAATATATATGTTACGGTGAAACACCGAAATCTCGAGAATGTCGAATTTCACCGGTGAATGTCAACATTCACATAGTCGCTTGGTGTATGCCCGAAATATTTTCCAAATACTCTTATTTCTGACTTACACCGGTGAATGTCGACATTCACCATGTACTAATGGTGAATGTTGAACATATAAGAATATTATATTTCCTTCTCCGTAATTCATTCGCGAAAAAACGCACTTGAGACTCAGAATAAGAACTTAAGAACATAAGAACTTAAAACACACAGTACATTCAAAATGAGAAAGGAAAATAATAGAAGTTATAAACTTACCAAATTACGTGATTCAAATCTTATTTATTGCAACAACTTAAACTATTATGACGCTTTGAATTGCACAAAGAGGCCCTTGCTTTTACAACTGCATTTATTTGTGGAACACTTCCTTTTGGAATGGCAGCGTGTACATTTACTCCTCTCTTTTCGACCTACACCAGAGCATATCTGTGATTGTCGACATACACCGGTGAGGGTCCGAATGTACAAGAATGTAAAGAAATATTCGATCTTTCACCGACGTATTTGGTGACATTCTCCGGTGAAAGTCGACATTCTCCAATTTCGGTCTTTCACGGTAGCATATACACAAACCCCCTCTCGATATTTTATTCCTTTTATTATGATAAATTTAAATTACGTTATGTTGATTTTATTACTTACGGAGATTTTACTGCATATTATTATATACGTTTTTCTGTCTTTAAGATTAATCATATGCATCCTGCAATAAGAAAAGCAGTGGAACATCAGAGACTAAATGTTTGCATAGGAGAATTGGATATATTTATTTACGGATTATTCGGGTAATGATAATGGAATGGGTGCAGCATATGTGGTTTATTTGTTTGATACAGAAAAAGAATATGGCAAAATCAGACTTGAACGTTACAGTTCTTTTTTTCAAGCCGCATTGGCTGCAATCATATTTGCTCTTAAATGGATTCATGAAAACCTGACTGTAAAAACATATATTAATATGTATACAGACTCGCTATCTGGTTTGGAAGCACTAGCAGATGCTAATAACACTAATATTTTGGTCACATATATAAAAGATCTCCTTATAACAGCTGAGAAACTACATGAAGTGAAAATGAACTGGGTGAAAGCCCATATAGGCAACGAGAGGGCTGACATGCTGGCCAAAGAGGATGCTATGGGTAATGTCGGAGCTGCATTCGATATTCAGACATAAAAAAGAATTGCTAGTGGTAAAATCAACAGCAATTCTCTATTACGATTTCTGGTAAGAAAAATAAAACATTTCGGAAAAAAAAAAAAAAAAAAAAAAAAGGAAATCGATCATAAAACAAATTTTAAATTTCAAATTTGGTCTTCTACATGCTCATATTCGTTGGAGGATTACGTTATTCAAAATTCGATGACTCTATGTACCGTTGTTTTATCACAATACGAGAAATATATATACATTTATGCAGATTTTTCATTATTTAATTTCTTCAAATATAATGCAGGACTCTAACATTTTGTGGCAACAGTTTGAAAAGTGAACCGACATTTATGAGTTCGACGCAAAATGCCAAAACGAAACTAATAGTCCTTCGGGATTCAAATCCCTTTGGACTAAAAAAAAAATGTTGAACTTTTGAAATTTTTAAAAATATGAGAATAATATTCGATTTTGACTACAATCAAATAATTACTGGGCACGGGTGCTTCCCAGCGTACCTGAAAAGATTTAATATGGAAAATAAATAGTCTTTGTAGAGCTGGAGACAATGCACGATATTCCGTCAACGACTACGTTTTATTGCGACATGTTACAGAAAAACATGGCAACATACAGGAATTCTATTACCGCAGGAAAGAGTTTAGATTTGCAAATGACTTGATGAACTTTATAAAATAAATGGCAACAGAACAATATTGAGAATTTTGATTTTCTATTTTTAACAGTATTTTTAATTTAATCTGTGTTGCGTGTACTGCGTTAACCATGAGTCCGATTATAATCGGCCAAGAGGGTCGCAGCACACTCGTATGTCCCCTTACTTTGTAGAGACATTAGGTTTTTTTTTGGAAGCAGGAGTCATAAAAAATGAGCAACGCCTTCGCCAGGAATCGAACCAAGGACCTCTGGAATACGCACCCAGCGAGCAGACCACCACACTACGAAGGCATGCCAAGAAGGCGGGAGAAATACCTTATATACTCCCCCTTTTAAAGGGCGACTGGGGTTTTAGGGGACCCAATCGCCAAATCCTGGGTGTGGAGAATCATCATTCACCACCCTTTTAATTCGGGCGCCACAGTAGAGACACCAGGTATTTTTGGAAGCAAGAGTGATGAAAAATGAGCACCGCCTTCGTCGGGAATCGAATCACGGACCTTTGGAATACACACCCAGGGTGCAGACCACCACACCACGAAGGCATGATAAGAAGGTGGGAGAAATACCTTATAACTTGACACAGGTAATGTTTTCGGTCCAAAAATTCGATAGTGAGTTTTCAATGAATAAGCATGAATTAGGGTCCCCACAACCCGTTTTTACTATTTTTAAAATGACGTCTGTATATGTAAACTCTTATATCAAACTTACGAAAATTTTTATTCGTGTTTAAGCTTCCTACATTAATATAAAGAGTTGATTAGATTTTAGTAAAACTGGGCAACTGAAAACGGTAATTTTTCACGTCTTCCTGCTTTAAAAAAAAAGGCCTAATGACACTCACTACAAAGTCTTTGAATGGGTTGGTTAAAAATTACAAAATTATTTACTCTTTTTGATTTTAATTAATACACACACAAAATAAATAAATAAAAATAATAATAAGAAAAAATCTGAAAGCTTTCAGATTTTACTTTACGCCCAAAGGGGCAAAATTTGTTATGATGGGTGTACTTCTTCAATGTAGTAAGTACCACTGATGCAAATTACATTTCATGTAAAATATCTTTTATACATAGTATTTTATGAAATAATCTTATATTTAAAAGTTTTTCATTTAACATAAAATGTAAAGTAAAAAAGTATATATATACATGTAATAATAAAATTTCTATAGTCAAGAATACACTTAAAATTCTAACTGTATGTTCTTTTCCAGGGGCGTAGCTAGAGGGGGGCAAGGGGGGCATCTGTCCCCGGGCGCAGAATCCAAGGGGCGCCAAACTGATGCTACGACATTTTAGAATTAAATGTTTTCCATTCTTGGCAAGCAGTAGGGGGCGCGAAATCTTCAGTTGTCTCTGGGCGCTGAAAACCCTAGCTACGACTCTGTTCTTTTCACTTTTAATGGCGACAGTCTCTTATTTGAAAGTACGTGGAATTAAATACACAGCCCCGTAGTCAAGTTGTTTTTCCCGCCTTTTCTACACAGAATGTTCTGGAAATATTTAAAGCGAACTGGATTGGCTGACGAGGCTGACGTCATTTCTTGGAAGCTCCGCCTTTCCAGAGGCTATAAAAGGACTCGCAAAAGAATATCGGAGGCTTTTTCTTAAATGTCACGATGCAGTAAACTTCATACAAAAAGTTATTTTCATACAAAAAGTAATTCTTTTTATTTTCTCCGGATATCTGATTTTGTAACTGCTATTTCTCCTGACCAATAATAAATGGATCCTGTTTTTTAAACTTATCGTCTGATAATTTAAGCTACGACTACATCTATGATTCCTCAACAATCTATTTATTCTGGACAAAAGCTGGTACATCACATACATATATATACGTATGTATAGAAGCTTCTTCCCCCTCCCGAAAAAGTTTAACAATTCTTATTAATTTTAGAACCGATTTTTATTTAGCTTTAAAGATATGATCAAATTAATGCAATTGAATTTTTTATCAAATCAGTCATCAAGTACATAAACAAAATGTATAGTTATAAAACTCATTTTCTTTTCAAAGTAGAGGAAATGATGTCTCATGAAGGTTTGTTCTGCTGTATTTACCTATCCATCTTAAAAATTAATTTTGGAATAAAGAAAATCATGTCATCTCGCTCAGTGCAAATAAAAAAGACTGGGAATTTTTCTTTATATTTCCTTTTTAATAATTTAATAATTATTAACCAAAAATGCTTCAATAATTTGCATGTTCTAAGAGAGAAATTTCAGTTGAGAAAGAGAATTTAATAAAGATAAATTTTCCGAATAGGAATTTGTTTGGTTAGTAATTAACTAACTTTCAAAGAGGCCCAAAGGCCAATTCATAGCAGAGGCATGGGGCATATGCCCCAGCTACCCGCGCGGAAATTAGGCTCTGCTGATAAAATTAGAACCTTCAGATGAATATAGCTTTTCTCATGTTTCGTAATTTGTTTTAAAAATTTGTTTAGCGCGTGCTCTTCTTCTAAATAATTAACTTCCTTCATTCACTAACATTGACATCATCGCATGAATGCTTTCTCGTCCCTAAAATTTATAACAACGTAAAGGCACGAGAAAAGTAATTTTTTAAGTAGCTTCTAAAATGAGCAACAAATTCAACGAACGGCAGGCAAAGAAATCAGAGAAACCGAAACAAAAACTAGAAAAATCACCGCGAAAAACGCTTTCCACAAACACGCACCACCAATGTGTCTAACGTAACAGCACGAAGAAATAAATGCTAGTCCCGAGAACGTGTATAAGACTTATTAAGGAATAGCGGTCATTTTTCTTTTCTTTGATTCAGCTTTGCATTCTTGGTTTCATGGAAAACCAGGCCAAATCTTTCTCTCGCCCGTTGAACGAGTGACAGGTTTCGGTTCGGCAGAAAGGGACCAACCACGAGGAAGTGGCAAGAGAGCGGCCGAACGAGTTTTTCGTTAGAGAACAAACAATTCATCCCAGCGGGAGCATTCGGATTTTGAGCGCAGAAATGCTGCAGTCGATGAAGGACCCGCGGTGTGCGATCTCTGGATTACGTCGTTTTTGCAAAGGAAAAGAAGGCATGGGTTGATACAAATTCCCACCCACTGGAAAGGTACGTTATATTTATGCCAATAATTCAGATCAGCGACAGGTTGAGACTTTAGATACCCTAAACTTATCGGAATCTTCCGATTCGTATAGTTTTACGAAAAATAACGAAAGAGAAATGCCATACGCTTATATCTTCCTATGCAAATTCGTATAAGTTAAAAAAAAAAAAAAATAATAACAGATAAAATATTAGGCTTCTGAGTTTTATTTCTCCGGATATGTATAATTTTGGAAAAATACCAGACGCTTACATTCCTACGTATGTAGGTATACTCCGATGCTCTCATATATATATGTTACCGTGAAAGACCGAAATTGGAGAATGTCGACTTTCACCGGAGAATATCAACATTCACCAAATACGTCGGTGAAAGACCGAATATTTCACTACATTCTTGTACATTCGGACCCCCACCGGTGTATGTCGACAATCACAGATATGCTCTGGTGAAAGTCGAAAAGAGAGGTCATAAAGTGCCAAAATAGTTTAAGTTGTTGCAATAAGTAAGATTTGAATCACATAATTTAGTAAGTTTTTTATTACCGTTATTTTATTTTCTCATTTAGAAGGTACTGTATAATTAAGTAAGTTTTTAACTTCTATTATTTTCCTTTCTCATTTTGAATGTATTGTGTGTTTTAAGTTCTCATGTTCTTAAGTTCTTATTTCAAGTCTCAAGTGCGTTTATTCGCGAATGAATTACGGAGAAGAAAATATAATATTGTTATATGTTCAACATTCACCATTAGTACATGGTGAATGTCGACATTGACCGAGACAGAAATAAGAGTATTTGGAAAATATTTCGGACATACACCAAGAGACTATGTGAATGTTGACATTCACCGGTGAAAGTCGACATTCTCCAGATTTCGGTCTTTCATCGTAACATATATAATATATACTCAGTTGTTCAACATGTAAATAATAAAAAAACCGCAAAAGAAATTTTTATTTTTCAAAATAAACAAAACTTATAGTAAAATGAAGAATATTGTTTATTCCTGGATATTTTATTTATTTTGAAAAGCATTCTCCAGTGACTTTCCAGTCGTAAAGTCTTCGACTGCATCCTCAAAACTAATCATACGCAACACATTTTCCTTAGAAAAGGCAGGTATTTTCTTTCATAGTGTTACTACAAACTTTATGGTTCATTTTAACTGAGAAAATGAACGCTTAATTGAGTAATATGTGACCATTCATATTAAAATTATATAGGCGAATTCAAATTAAAATTATATAGGCGATTAATTCATATTAAAATTATACAAGGCGAATGTCGATATTTGATTTAATGTAGTTTGATTTATGTGATTACGGCAAAGCGCACTAGGACTCTATACCTAAGAGGAGAGATGCCTTCGTGGAGGACTTTCTAAGGGAAACTGGCTCGTAATTGTGCCACCATGAATAAAACTACGAAAATGTTTACCTACAGCTCGTTCACCTGGAATCAAACCCAGGTCGAATTACCAGTGTTCAGCGACTTTACCACTCGGCCGCATGTAAACCTGTTAATATTTGGAAGGTTAAGATTTTTGTCTTCTGTAATTACATCATAATATTATTTTTATAATTACTCAGTTCAACTGAATATTGTTTTTAGACATTTTGTGCAGTAAAACCTCTATTGCTGTTACTTTCTATAATTTTTTATTATTGTACATAGTCACTTTTCATTTATGGTGGAAGCCGCCTTTTGTGGTAAATGGTTACATCGCAAATTTTGCACTTTTGTATAATATACTACATGGTACACATCCGTTCACAGAACATTTCTGATACGTCTCCCTTTCCATTAATGTTCATGTTCTAAGTATACGCGTATTTTGGTTCATAGTTAAATCAGTTTTGATTGAGCTGCATTTGCTGATTTTTAAAGTTATAAAACTTCGACTTGTTCTGTTATTGAGTAAAACGATCGAACCCTTAATTTGAGCATCATTACAGAAGTTAGCAAGAGCATATTTTCCTTTCTAACTTGGCCAAAAAATTAGAAAATATAATAATACTGATATAAACATCATGCAAATTCCTTAAATGACAACATAAAATATAAAACTGATCTAACATAAAAACCTCAGGCAACTAAACCGGAAAAACACCTTTTAAATTTTGAAACGATGTTGTCTGAGACGACAATTCAATGTTTCAAGGAATTCTGGTCGTCTATGGAAAGGAGTATATATAACATATTACATATCATTCAACAACTACATTTATTTGCCTTCTCACAGAAATACTGATAGCTCTAAAAGGTGGCTGTTTACAGGAGATGGTGGTGATGATATTTTTCACTGCATATTAGATTGATTCGTTCTAGATTTTTCACAATCCGCAGAAGAAAGAGGCACTTTTGATGCAAACGATAAATTTATTCGGACATAAGAAATATTGAATTATTATTTACAAATTTTATATATAATTAATTATGAAATGTCTGTCTCCAAGAGACTAAAGTTACACTTCTGTGTCATACTCCAGCAATTGGTGTCATATCAGGTACTAGACATATTTTTATTCCTTTTAGTAATGCCACACCCAAACTAGTAATATATTCAGTTATGCTGAAAATGTTCCTGCAAACGCAACACGTACATTATCAAATGAAATGGCTCTAATTCTATATTATAAATTTAAAATTCAATGAGAAAAAAATACTGTAACTACAAATACATCGCGAGCAGAAATCTGTGCAAATCAAAATTTTAAAATTTAAGAAATTTATTCTTTCAAATACATATCATTAACAGTAACAGGAGAAAAAATAAATTGCTTTTATTCATTTTTTTCAAACTTCCATTCTTCACTAATACTTTTATTAGTAATGAAGTTTTGTATTTGATGTTAATATGAAAATTAAGTACTTCCTTATTGTTACGGTCCTTTGTTATTTAAATGACTAATTGATGACATTTTCACAAAACATCGCCAAACGATTGACAGTCCCCCCCCCCCCGCTGTGAAAAAAGCTCTGAACAGGATTACCAGCGCAGTACATTAAGTTAATGTTCTGGATGGCAGAAATTCTGAGAAAAGAGAAAATGCTTTTAATGCTATATATAAAGCAATCGCGAAAATATGGCAGGGACCACTGGGTGAGCAGCTGTGCCGCCAAGAAGACTTTCAGGTTTATTGCTTACTCAGTGAGACCATGTTTATTTAAAATTGATAACTATGAAATTTGGATATATATGTTGAAATTATTTCTTTTTCCCTCCGATGGATTCATTTTTTCTTTTATTTTTATCGTCTGTCGCCGACTAGGTCACGTGACTGGCGGCAGAGAAGGAATGTAATATTTTTTTAGTTAAGCTTGTGGGCGACGCCTTGAAATGATCTGTTCTTGGCCGTATAGCGGTAATTGTTCTTGATAAACGAATATTGGCCCTATGATGGGAAAATTTATAATATATGTATGATTGTGCTTTCAATAATGTAAATAATGTACATAAGCTCTTCATTAAATGTTTTGTTTTTATATAAAAAAATAGAATCGTGAATTCGTGAGCATAAACGTGACAATTTTATACAATATACATTAAATCATGATACATAAAAATACACATTAAATAAAGTAAAAAGAAATATTTTGATAAATATACATAAAAATTAATTAATTCTAATATGAAAGTTCTGTATCAGCTTATGAGATGAAATATCTTGAAATATGAAATATATTGAAACATGAAATATCTTGAATCTTGGATTGACTTTATATTCCTTTTAAATGTTCACGGTATTCTATTAGATATTTGATTAAGTTATGCAGTTTATTACGAAGGAAGTTACTTTTAAGAAGTTGTTTCAATTAGATTTGTGCGTTGACAGCTGTGAAGGGGCGAAAGTGGAGATCTTTGGTTTTATTGAACATTCGGGAACATATAATGACGTATCGGAAATATGGCAGCTATAAACTGTATGTGAGAAGTGAACATATTTTCTGTGTAAATTCTTAATTTTTTTTCTTAATTAAAACTCGGCGATGATCTTGGACCCGTTTAAATAACGCAGCCTTAATAATAAGGAAGTACTGAAAATATAGTACCAATCATTCATCCTTAGCATAAAAATCTAACAAGCAAAGATTTGCTCGCATAAATACATATGACGTATTTTAAAACTATCAATCATAATACGTGTAACAGTTTTTAAATTCTTTCCCCTTATAATACAGAGAATATCCCATACAAAGAGAACACAATGCAACGCAAAAGGCTAAGCAAGGAAGCAAATCGAAAGAGGGGGGAAGAAATCATTTCCTGAGCGAGCGAATCATTATAGTTATTTCATATTCAGACTATTCATTTTAAGCGAGCTGATAATAAACGCGGCACTAATCATGTGGTCAGATCCACTGTAATTTTCCTGATCCCGGGTCTCGAACAATGGGCGTGGAAACAATAACGGGGCAGCCCGGATTGGGCGCGTGCCAAATCTGTGCGCAAATTTGGGGGGGGGGAGCAATCAGGTAGGACAATTAGTGGCATGCCGGTATTTTAGCCCGAAGTTTGATGCCAATTTACAAAAATCTGATATAATCTAAACTTTAACAGACAATACCTGATTGGATTTGGAGACTAACTATCGGACGTTTTACCGATTACGATTGCGATTTTTTGCGTTCGCGAAATTTTGGAGAGGTGTTTGAAAAGCGAGAGGGAAAAGTTGCAATGCACTGTTCACGTTTTAACTATGCACAGATCTTGTGAGTTCACAACTGAAAATTTAGTTTTAAATTTTGATTAAATACAATTACTTAAAGGAGTTATGTACCCTCATTTATTAAAAATAAATTCATAGAGTTTAAAAATTTGAATCAAAAAACAACAAGTTAATTTTTGAACGCTAACTGTGGAATTATTGTAAGGTTTTTCAAGTTTTAATTTCAATAGGCGAAATGATATTTATAGAAGCATAAAATGACTTTTATATTTTGCCATTACCTCGCAAATTTCTTTAACATTTCAAATAAATACATTAACTGATAAATAACT